AGAACGCAGGTATCTACTGAACTTATTGCCCTTAACAAAGTCCATCTTGCCSTAGTAGTMGTGTATCTTACCCGAYGTTGCCCAAAAATCTKGTCGGACGCAAGTTGTTCAAGTTGTATGAAGAAGGGTGAGGTAGAAATGTCCAGCCACTTTTTTCCATTATCCAGCTTTTACAAAACTGTGGTTAAAATATCTTAGACAGATGATATAGCGGCAATTGGCATAACCCTCCTCCATTTTTGGCAGACTCAAAGCACTTCGCGGTTTATGAGGATCTTATAATCAGTAATATAAGAGTTGTGTGTACCACAATGTAGCAGCTTTCCAAGTGACATCCCTGTAAACATCGTCCTTTTAACCTAACCTGACTGTCATTAGTGAGGAATTATTACAAATATGGTTCCCTGGTTAACAAGGGGTTACATGAGTTTCCTTGGGTAAAAAACAACTTTTTTGCAACAATTTTTTTCTCATAAAAAAAAATTAAATATTTTATTAGAATTTTGTATTGTAACAAACATACAAAATTAACAAAGAAATTTTTAAATTTTTGGAAAAAAATATTTCACGACGCCATTTCCGTCGACATTTGTACAAAAAAATTTAAATTGAAGTGAAAATTCCGCGACATTTTTTTCAAATAGTTGTAATCGAAAAAAAGTACTTTGTCCAAGTCTTTAAGAACTTTATTTCAAAGAACTGTATAAAAAAAAATTGCTTCGTCCAAGTCTTTCAAAATTTTATCTCAAAGACCTGTGCAAAATTTCATGAATATCGGTTGAATAATTCTCGAAAAATCTAGCCAACCGATTTCAAAAACAAAGCTTCGAGACAAATGCGTTTAAAAACTGCGCATCCGACTAATTCGAGTTCTTTATTATCTCCGAAAGTATTAATCGGATCAGCTTGAAAATTTAGGACAATATTTTGGAGGTGTTGCAGAATTTAATAAGACAATAAAGAAATCGATTTTTTGAAACCCCTTAATGACTCACTTTTAGCACATTATTCTTTATCGACTCAATTACACCATTTTGTTTTGCGGTCGAGTTTTGGCTTCGTTATATAATATATGATGTGTATTAGTGTAAAGCTTATAAGATACCTCAGCGTGGTGAAACCAGATCAATTGTTCATTTTATCAATTATAATTACTTTGTGACACAGGCAGCCAAATGGCTTGAATGATCTTCCTTATGCTTCCTACGCATTTCGATCTAATGTACGATGAGTTATTATATTCTTCTTATTACAAGTAACAAACATCCGAACAAAGTTCTAATACCAATTCATATTCGTGTTTTGTATAAGAAACCCGTAGAGAAGAATTTATTGGAAGAAAAAAAATTTCAATTTGGATTTTCACTTAATTTTTTCGCACTCCTTAGCACAACCTCAACCCTGCCATTGACTTGCAGTGTAAGTGCAATGGCTACAAACACCACCTAATGCACAGAAGTTTTGAGTTTTATGTATGTAAATCCGTACCAATACGTATGTAGATTATACTTTTGCATATATATATATAGCTACACAAATTTAACAAGGCAAAGCGCCAAATAAGGTATGCAAATAAACACTTCAACTTTGAAATTCGTTAAATGAAAGAAATAATAAAGAGGAGTAAGAAGGAAAATGTTGAAATAGGAGAGAGTGTACACAGGGAGAATGCAAAGAGCGCAAATGGGGGGGAAAACGTCACTGAAACTGTATATGGAGTATACACTAACATAACTGCACATACAGTCTTTGAAAAATGTGAACACTACACTCACTCGCTTACATATCGGTTATGCAAATACAACACTTTAAAAATTATGCCCTACATATGACTTGCTGAGAGGAAAGTAATGTCRATGCATAGCAACAACAATGCACACACATACACTTACTGTACTTATATTTTACTTAGCATTATGTCGGTGGCGGCATAACAAACAAACACTCACCTACACACACACACACACACAAGTGCTTAGACGGCAAACAACGTTGAGCAGACACACTTATGTATATTTATAGACATACATATATAAACAAAGCTGTAAACAACAACGTCAGAAGATAGAGAGGTTGCTTGCCTACGCTTGTGAACCGTAAAAAGGTAGATTTGTTCACTAAAATGTCACGGTGGGTAGCCTACTTTTCGGCGCTTAAGTATACACGCGCGTTAATGCCGCTCAGCAGGGTGTATGTATGCGTGGCTATATGTTTTTTTTGTTTAGTGTTTTTCCTCATTTTTTGCGTATTTCAAAAGTTCGTCTTTCATATGTGTACGTCGTTTGTATGCATGCGTTGTTGTTGCCGCGTTGCAATGTGGAAATTTGTCAAGTTCATTGGTTGCTGAGTGCCAAGTGCGCGCCATGCAGCTGAATATTGCTTTGCCTTGCAGCCAACTTTATTTGCAACATTAGGAATTCCAAGCATGCACACATATATACATACACCATAAACACCCACATACATCCACCATCTACATATATGCATGTATAGTACGCATCTAAAATGTGGGAGGTGGCACCGAAGGTTGTGAACCGGAAAATGTGTCAATGTTGCACACATACTTTTTCACTTAGCAATTTTTACATTTGCATTCTCGTATGCATTTTTATTATGCACTCACAACAGTTAGAGCACTCTGAATAAATAGCAACAGTAGCTGTGTTGCAATGCGAGGCAGATGAGGTGAAATAATTTCATTTAAGGTAACATTAAATTTGTGAAAGAGCACAGCTAAGAATCAATTTAAGAAAAGTTGAATTAAAAGTATATAACAGTTGTTTGTATAACTTCACGWTATAGTTATAGAAATATATACCAATATAACCTGGACAATATGTATGTAGATTACATTTTTGCATATATGTATACAGCTACACAACTTTAACAAGGCAAAGCGCCAAATAAGGTATGCAAATAAACACTTCAACTGATTTATGTCACCTCATCCGCCAAATTCGTGTATCTTCACGATCTCTTCATATGAAAAAAGTTTTCCATACAAGCACTKGATTATGATTGTTCAGCTTGTAGGGCAACTATATGCTATAATCGTTGAATATCGACGATTCCGACAAGCGAGCAGCTTCTTGAAAAAAAGGAAGGTATGCAAACAAMAAGTTATCAAAACGAAACACGCTTCGAAATCAAACGGTTAGCCGGTTAGAAGGAAAGTGAACTAATATTAGCTTATACTTTTACTAACATAAATMGACGTACAATTTTTAAGTTGCTTAAAGACGAGGGTTGGGAATTACTATACTTTATTTAGACTTAGAACTTGTGCTCAGACTTAACCTAAACAAAAATAAAGCCGAACAAGCACTTTTCTRYAATGAAGAGTTTTTAGATAAATGAAATATTAGTTTAGCAATACATCAACTGCTTAGTAAATAGGCGCGCATACATTTAATTCACAAGCGCAGACACATACACTGACACACAGACAATGTGCTTAGAAACGTTGCCGAAAGTAAAAGTCAAGTCAAGCTACTACATTACGTAATATTTGTGCTTCGGCGACAACTTTAAATTTTTAGCGCATATGCACCGTGTGTTGGCTTTGATAAAAAATATGAAAATTTTTTCCGTCTGTTACGCAGAAAATAGTTTCTTGGGCAGCTCTAAATCTGTCTCTTATACACATCTAGATGTGTATAAGAGACATATATAATACATACATACATTCACACAAACTATTACAAAAGCAAATATGTCAACAAAGCTGACTCCTCAGGGTTTATTACAAAACTCAATTTTCAATGTTGTATGGGTATAGAAWAAAASCAATTTTTAAGATAACACTGTGCAACGACTGCGTCATTGTTGATATTCATAAACGCAGTAATTATTGTTATTTGCCCAACGGTAAGTGTACCGTAAGGGTATAAAAGGTGATGCTGATGTTTGGGAGTTTCCGGTAGCTTTCGGATATATTGCCTAACTGACCGCATAGTGAATAGATAGAGCGAAGGAGTGCACGCGTGTCGAATGCTAGTAAACGTTTTCTAACTTCTATAATTTAGTAAAAATAACTATCACAGTTGTTAATAAAATGCAAATGGATTTTGATGTGGTTTTGGAAAAGTGCGGCAGTTTCGGACGTTTTCAATACATTATACTGTTATGTTTCGGAATTGTGAATATTCTTTCGTCGCTTCATTATTATTCACAGATTCTGATTACTTTTACACCGGAGCATTGGTGAGTCGCAAACGGATTTTTGTTTTGTGGAAAATTCAGCGAGTTAGTGCTGCAAGGGGTGAAAAACAAAAATTTAAAAGAGTTTTTTTTTTTAATTCTTAATTTTTAATTTGAAGTATGGACAGTTAATAAGAAAACACCTTAAAATATTTTCATTAAAAGTGCAAACAGTCTTCTAAAGTGGTTTCCACATTACTGAAAATATGAAATGTATACACCAGAACTTGTTTTAGTTTAAAACCGTTTTACATGCATGCTTAATTTTGTGTTTAATTTGAATCTATGTTTCTGAATTTCAACCAGGTGCTATCACGAGAAGTTGGCCAACGCTAGTTTTGAGGAAATTCGCGCGGTTTACGCCCAAACTCAGAGTCCACACTGCACACGTCTCTACGATATAGTCGACGGCAAGCCAATTGTTGCTGAAGTGGGACTGTGCCAGCAGTGGATCTATGAATATGAGAGAGGATATCAAACCATCACCACACAAGTAAGTAGTACAGCTGTCTCTTATACACATCTAGATGTGTATAAGAGAAAAGCTGACTCCTCAGGGTTTATTACAAAACTCAATTTTCAATGTTGTATGGGTATAGAATAAAAGCAATTTTTAAGATAACACTGTGCAACGACTGCGTCATTGTTGATATTCATAAACGCAGTAATTATTGTTATTTGCACAACGGTAAGTGTACCGTAAGGGTATAAAAGGTGATGCTGATGTTTGGGAGTTTCCGGTAGCTTTCGGATATATTGCCTAACTGACCGCATAGTGAATAGATAGAGCGAAGGAGTGCACGCTTATCGAATGCTAGTAAACGTTTTCTAACTTCTATAATTTAGTAAAAATAACTATCACAGTTGTTAATAAAATGCAAATGGATTTTGATGTGGTTTTGGAAAAGTGCGGCAGTTTCGGACGTTTTCAATACATTATACTGTTATGTTTCGGAATTGTGAATATTCTTTCGTCGCTTCATTATTATTCACAGATTCTGATTACTTTTACACCGGAGCATTGGTGAGTCGCAAACGGATTTTTGTTTTGTGGAAAATTCAGCGAGTTAGTGCTGCAAGGGGTGAAAAACAAAAATTTAAAAGAGTTTTTTTTTTTTAATTCTTAATTTTTAATTTGAAGTATGGACAGTTAATAAGAAAACACCTTAAAATATTTTCATTAAAAGTGCAAACAGTCTTCTAAAGTGGTTTCCACATTACTGAAAATATGAAATGTATACACCAGCACTTGTTTTAGTTTAAAACCGTTTTACATGCATGCTTAATTTTGTGTTTAATTTGAATCTATGTTTCTGAATTTCAACCAGGTGCTATCACGAGAAGTTGGCCAACGCTAGTTTTGAGGAAATTCGCGCGGTTTACGCCCAAACTCAGAGTCCACACTGCACACGTCTCTACGATATAGTCGACGGCAAGCCAATTGTTGCTGAAGTGGGACCATGTCAGCAGTGGATCTATGAATATGAGAGAGGATATCAAACCATCACCACACAAGTAAGTAGTACAGTACTAAACTAAACATTTTATGGATCTGAGACAATCTTAATCTCATTATATACCTGTATTTGTGTGGCACTGCAACTCAAGAAGCACCTAAGTATTTARTATGGTTATAGCTTCCTTTGTAAACTACCAGTTCTGCGACTCAAGAGGACCTCATGCAGGCTGCATGGCAGTTTGTAAATGCAAAATGAAGGCCTTGAAATAGGAATCACATCTCCTGAATAGGACACTGGAATTTATAACTAAGCGGGGCCTATGTGATTCGTTGTGAGAGAGGTGTCAATAGACCTTATATCGCGGCAGATCACACCTCAATTTTTTCTATCTTTCTTTCTATATACAATTAAATGGACGTATAAAAACTAGACCTAAACCCATACGTTATGTATAATTTTAACTCTAAAGTAAAATCTTTACGCTAATGCTTTCAGCTCAATTGGGTATGTGATGACGCCTTTCAGTCGGCGGTAGGCCAATCGCTGTACTTTTTGGGTTCCGTTGCAGGAACAATGTTTTTCGGTTTCTTAGCCGACAAAGTCGGACGTCTACCTGCAATGATTTGCACAACTTTAAGTGGGGCTTTAGGTGATTTCCTAACAAGCTTTGCCAATAATTTGCCAACATTTGCGCTTTTCCGTTTCGTTTCCGGCCTRTCCACAGATACGCTGTTCTACCTCATGTATATAATGGGTAAGTTCAAATAATATGTGACTCACTCCATATTTTTCATTATGAAAACTTCGCTTGCAGTATTCGAATACTTGTGTCCACAGAAGCGCACGCTCGGCCTGAATCTGATAACCGGTGTATTCTATTTTACCGGCTTGGTACTCACACCATGGTTTGCACTTTGGTCCGGTTCATGGCGCCTCTACCTGTACATCGCTTCTATGCCTGCGCTGATTGTATTCACTTTTCCATTTTTGATTTGTGAGAGCGCACAGTGGCTGATCACAACACAMCGCTATGAACGCGCCGTCAAATGTCTGAAGCGWGTTGCCAAAATAAACAAACGCGAAGTGAAAGACGAAGTATTCGAAGAGTTCGTAGCATATTATCAGAAGAAGGCGGCCGACGAGCGCAAACTCGTTGCCACGAAAGACACTTTCTGGGGCATGTTCCGTACACCACGTGCTGTCTCTTATACACATCTAGATGTGTATAAGAGACGTCTCAATAATATTGTTTTTGGGTGCGATTTTGTGTTTGGCGCTGCCAGAGACTATGAATCAGTATGTACAAAAATAGATAAATATAGATATATGAATGAGACTCTCATTTGCTGTACTTGCAGAAAATTACCGCAGACCTTGAAAGATGGCGAGGAGTTTGCGCGACACCAACGCTGGTACTACTTCCCATGCTTCAGCAGGCAGCAGGAGCAAAAAGACGCTGAAATCTGCAATTGATTKTTGTGCTCCTCATGTGTGTATGTCAGTTCAATATTTTAATAGATGATAATGGAATTTCACAAAGCAATATTAAATTTTAAATTTATCCACTGTCGCATTGTTTTCATTTTCTCTTGAGTGTTAAACCAAATTAAGGGCTAGTTATTATAAGCAGGGATCTTCGGGGTGTATATAAATATTTTTTTGTTAAATTATTAAAACGAGTTGATCCAACATAAGTTTTACTGTACGTTTTAGAGAATGCTACTGAGTTGGTAGAACTATGTGGATTTCCCATCCGAGTTGTTAGAAAGCACTTTATCGGTTGTGTGAGAATAAAACGATCAGGCGCTGCAATCTGGCTCACTCTCTCTTCATTTTGCATATAAAAAGTTTTAGTCTTGACTGCTAAAGACATTATCACTTTATGAAATTTTGATTTCAAAATGGTTATATTATATCTACCAAATATATATTTCCCWTATCTATTTGGTAGATATTGGTTAGATTAACTTAGGGCTCTGAAAGAAAACACCCACATTTTGCTTGAAATACARTTTTTTATTGTGCAGCTTTTTGTAATTTATTTCGCATGCCTTATTATTTACATCAATATTATTGAAAACTAACAAATAAAATTGCAAATTGATAACCTCACACTTGAAAGGTCACTAAAGTGGAAACTGAAACACAGCAATTTTACGCGAACATCAAAGAGCCGCTTTAAGCGTGGAACTAACTGGCTATTTTGCAAATTGTTACTAACAGAGTGTTGTTTTCAAATATTATTTTAAATTATTTTAAATAACCTTTGAGTAAAGTGCAACTTGAGATAGGAATATACGTAGAATAAGCATTTCTTAAGAAATWTTCAAACAATGAAAAGTTCGCTTTCTAAGCAACCAATCAAATTCACATACAGATTACTACGCTTGCATATATATATACACATATATATGTATATGTATGTTATTTCAAATTCCTACAGCTTATCGCACTTGCAACTGCCTCCATCGGTTCCGGGCTAGAAATGGGAATAAGTCGCAGTGGACTATATGTCTAGCCGTTTCTATTGTTTGTTTCATATGAATGCGCTATCAAATAYGGTCGTTGGATTTTCATTTCATAGAATCAATTAAACTGCCACTTGGTCATATCAAACAAATGTTTAAGCAATCGTAATAGATATTTTTAAGAACATGCCTTAMACTTGTATAYTCTTGTAATATAWTAGTTTTGTTCACCTAACCGTTGTTGGTATCAGCTAAAAGTAATAGATATAGATGTGACATCTTGTGACAAAAAACAACATGGAAATGGTAATTAAAGTGTTATTTAAAAAAAAAAATCATTTTACTAAGTTGGTAGGGTTATATATAATTACTATGCTACATATGAGCGTGATCTGCCAACCAATTTGTTCAAAGCAGCTGATTAAGTCGGTACTTCACAGTAGTGCAAAAAAGGTTAAAATATCGAACAAAGAATTTCTGTCAAATTTTGTATTTCTGCACAAATTTCTGTTGCGAATGTTGCAAAAGGCTTACGGTGATTCAGTTTTAAAGCTCAATTAAGATAAAAGATACCGTATACAGATCCATACTATACATGCTTGATTGTGCGAATTTATAACTCACATTCTTGGAGAGCATTATAACTGAAGATAAGACATTGGTTTATGAGCTTGACATGCAAACAAGTCAACAATCATCGGAATGAAGAGCAAAAA